TCCTCTAAACACCTGAACCATCCTGACCTGGCTAAAACCTGCCTGGAAGAGAGGGCAGCGCACACCACACAGGAGAGCCAAGAGCTGCATTGGCTTACCCACATTATACAACCTATGAGCCGCTTAGGAAAAGAGGTGGGGGCAGAGCAATGTTGCCCCAACAAGCCCAAAGAAATGTTGGCATTAGGAACTTCCTGAAGTGGGTGTTATATCCAACCACTGTGTTCAATGGTTCTTCATGATTTTTTTCCTCCAAGAATGTTAAATCATTTTTAAACCATTTCTACTTCCAACATCCAGCAGTGATGAACCCCATAGTTTGCACATTGGGGCAAAAGCCTAGTTCTGCTTGTTTCARATTAATTTTCCCTGACAGCCAAGGATACTCCATGAATTTTGYGATCTCAGCTTTATGAGAAGTCAAAAACAAGCCCTCCTCACTCACCTTTTCTACAGCTTATTTTTTCAGGGGCTCCATCTCTGCTAACCCTTTCCCAGGCAGAAAAGTCAATGGATTAGGTCCTTTGAGAACAGAAGCTTTTCCCCACCTCTGCAAGTGTCTGTGCTGCCTTTCTGCTGCCCTGCTGGATCCCYCCCCAACCCCGAGCAGCAGGCCAGTAATGCATGCAGCACTGGCTGTGGAAGCGTGAGGAATTTATGTCCCCGCTTTGTTCTCTGTTCCCTCCTTAACGGTCCATTTGGCTTATTGGAGCACTGGCAGAGCAGTGAATGGGTATTTTCAGGGAACTCTCCACACAGACAATGGGATTTCTTCTCCCGAGGACAATAGTTAGGACTGCCCCTAACTTTTTYAGGGCAATATCTGGGCTGTGTCCCCCGCCCCCAGCACTACTCTGCTGACCAACACCTCCTGTGTCTGCACTCAGCACACCTTGTGAAATCATCCTGTAATTTGTGCCACTGATTCTCATTCTGGCCAGACTGAGCAGCACTATCAGCAACTTTGTCGCACCACTATTCACTCTGTTCCACATCATTTACAGATGTGCTGAGTAGTCTAGCTTCACCTGGGATTCCTGACCCTGCCAGTCAGGACCTGTGCTCAGCAGCTCCGTTTCTTCAAAAAGTTACAGCAAGTGAACTTTCTAAGAGCTTTTTGGGAGTCCTAGTACTCATTCAAATAGTTCTTCTTCCACAACAATTTCATGTGCCCATCTCTCCTCATTTCAACTGCTGAATTTTAAGTGCAACAGGCAGTGCAAAACTGACACCCACTCCACTGTATCAGCCCCTGCTGCTCCTTACCTTGAAGTCCTCACTAAAGGCTGTCCCATGTTAACCAACRTAAGATTTCACTGGTCCCAAAGTGGCAAGTTTTACAGCCCAACGTGTAGCACAGTAATTGAATGTATGGGACCCTCTAAACTGTGGGAGATCCATTCTCTAGCACTTGCTGTTTACAGCAAACTGAAAAGTGGAACTTCTTATACTAAGGCTTCAACCTCATGTGGATTCCCCAACGTGTCTCCTGTAGAGGCCCCTCAATGTCGTATGCCAAGTCAACAGCAGCGCCAGGAATTTGGCTCTTCTGCAGTCCTTCTGTACTGAATGAACCGTCCCAGGTCGGTCACTGGCTGGCTTTGAACACCTCTGAAACATTTTCTGCTTCTGCAACTTTTGAAAACATTGTAAGTTTTTACGTGTTTAACTAGTTCTTCCTCAATCTCTTTTTGCCCTACTTTCATTTATTTTGCATTCAAAGTGCCAACACTGGTGCTCTTTCCCACTGGCCTCATTTCTACTTCAGCRTCTTCTTCATGCTGCTTAATGATATATTTTTTGCTCTTTTAAAGTACTGTGTTTAAAGTACACACATGATCTACATTTCTCTACCTCAATAATATGGTGCTAGCATGCACCAGATTCCTGTAGCTCCTCCTCTTCATTTTTGCAAGCTTCTCCATACCAAATACAYGGAAAGGAAGAACAGAAAGTAAGAACAGAAAGGAAGACAGCACAGAATGGAGAATACAGATTTTTCTTCCCATGCTGCTTGACTAGGACAAGTGAGAAGGAATCAAAGGTGTGCAAAGTAATTTCCTGAAAGAGACCTCGGGAGGTTTCAGTCAAACCCCCATGATCAAAGCAGAATCTGCAGCATCAGATCAGGGTGCTAAGATTTTCTATGCAGGTCTTGGAGATATTCAAGGATGGAATCAAAACAGCTTTTACAGACTATCTGCTTAAAAACTCCTTATATCCAGTTTCGAGTCTGTGCCCATTTATCCTTCATCCTCTCCCACCTCTCAGTGTCCRACAACCCCCTCATAGTTACCAGAAGCTGCTGTCAGACCCACCCAAAAACCCTCTTGCTTCCACAGTGGAAAACCCCTCAATCCCAGTACCTGGTCTGTGTGGTGAGTGCTGTAATTCCCCCACTGAACCAATGACCCTTTGCTGAACTCATTCCCCTTTGTGGCTGTGTCTGGTACCTGGGGTGGGAGCAAAACACACCAGGTATTCCAGATGTGGTTTAACAAGCACTAACTGGAGAGGGCTGATCACTGCCTCTGATCCTGCTCTGACAGCCCAGGATGCAGGGGGCCTCCAGGGCACACTGCTGGCCCTCTCCAGCTCACTGGCCACTGGCATTTCCTGGCTCTTTGTCACAAAGCCACAGCCAGGCAGTGCCTGACCCACATCCCAGCAGTGAGTTTACCTGTCCCACGAGCGGAACATGCCATCTATCCTTGCTGAAATCCTCTGGCTCTCTGGGTGACAGTCCTCCTCTCAGGACATCAACTGCCTCCCCTCCAGTTGGGTGTCACCTGCAAACTGCTTGTGCAGGTGTTCTGCAGCCTCCTCCAGGTCACAGGGACAGGTCCTGCACCAGACCTCAGAGTTCTGACCCTACAACTGCAGAGAAGTATCAGGGACTTCAGCTTGTTTGTAAAACTATGACAAAATAGAAGGGTGGATTACTCCATYCCTCTTACACTAACATCCACTAAACACAATTCTGAAATCCTGGGCTCTCAAAGGGACCTTAGGGACACCCACTTCCTAGAGTCCTCAGAAAACATTCTTCTCTGGAAATCTGCCACCCAAACAGATTGTGGAAAGGTTCAGATTCTTTGGGGACCAGTTACTACTTAAGTAGTAGCTGTGAAGGCCAAGGCTTTACAGCCAATGAACTGCCCAGCACTTCCAGACTTGTGCTGCTGCGATGCCACCAAATCACTCAATAAAACTCCAAGAGTTGAGGAAATAACACACAGAATTTGTGGTAATGCCAGGAAGAGCTACACAGAGTATGGTACAAGCACGTTACAGGAATGCACAACAACAAACATTTTATCAAACAATCTGCCTTCCTTCATTCCCAGAGTAGCACAATCACAACACCACTCGACTCTGTGTCACCCTTACACCTTCCTTCTTCCACAAACAGCCTCGGGTAACACTTCTCAGCTGAAGTTTAGGAGCAGGAACAGTTCACAAAACACTTTGCAAAACACCTTCAGAACAGCACAATCATACTAAAGGTAAGGTAGAATCTCCAGGAGGGTCCACAAACAACTAGCCCATCAAACTGCCAGGTCACAGGCAAAACTTCAGGCCCAGGGCTGCTGTGCTGCACTCTCCAGCTCCTGTCACTGCAGATCATCTGCAAATCTTCCAGTGGTTTCTAYAGACTCCAGTAATTTGGGCTGAAGYGAAATAAAATGTTAGCATTAATAGGTTTTAAAATGTAGCTTCCACACAGAAAAAGCAGGCAGTGCATGAACGAACTTAGTGCCACCATAAAGAGGCCAAAGGAGTAATGGAATGATTAGAGACACTGCTTGAACTTGGGGTGCTTACTGATTAAAAATCTATCCTTCCAAAGCCATAAGCCAGTTGCTATCCAGTTCCACTGTCCTGCCTGTCCTCAGCTCTCTGACAATGGAGCCCTCGCACTGGAGTTTCACACCAGATGAGGACACARCTACATTTTGATCACACTCAAGTAAAGTACAGATGACAACCCACAGGACATGGGCACACACCAGGACACACATCCAGAGGTGGAGGGGATCTCTGTGGGAGCAGGGCAGGGTCTGCAGACAGGAGGACTCTCCATGACCCTCACCTGAGCAACCCTGGAGATTCCAGCTGAGGTGGAACAGGGTACCCAGAGCAACAGCCCTGCTGCTTCAGCACCCCGGCCCCTCCAGGTCCTACCCCTGGTGAGYTCAGAGCACTCCTTGGTGCCCAGTTCTCACACATCATCCCAGACCCAAGGCCAGAGCCCTCCTGCCCCTGACCAGAGCACTGCCCCAACACACCCCGCCGTGACCCCGCTGCAAGCAGCAGCCACCCCATCCCTCTGGGCACCGAGCCCTGCAGCGGGGYAGGGGCTGCTCCAGAGAAAAGCAAGGAGCTACTGGAGTGGGTCCAGTGAGGCCACAAAGATGATGAGAGGTCTGGAACATCTCTCTGATGAGGAGMGACTATCGGAGCTGGGCTTATTTAGTCTARAGAAGACTGAGAGGGAAATTCACCAATCCATACAAGAATCTCCAAGGCTGGTGCCAAGAGGTTGGTGCCACTCTCTTCAGTGGACAGGATGGGGAGCAATGGCCATAAACAAAACCACAAGTTCCACCTTAACATGAGGAAGAACTTCTTTACACTGAGGGAGGCAGAGCACTAGAACAGCTCCCTGGGGAGGTCGCGCTCTGGAGACATTCCAAACGTACCGGGGACGTGTCCCAGTGTCACCTGTTCCAGGTGGCCCAGTCTGGGCAGGGGCTTGGACTGACTGATCTCCAAAGGTTATTCCAGCCCCAAATATTCTGTGATTCCGTGAGAGACCTCGGGCACACACCGAAAGCCGGCAGGAAACCAGCCACCGGCGCCTGCTCCCGCCGGCCCGAGCGACGAGGCTGGAGGTTTCGGCCGAGGCCAAGGCGCAGCCATGAGGTGCCGGCACCGGGAACCGCTGCGGCGGCGGCGGCCTGAGGACCCCCCATCCCCTCAGCGCGGCCCTCACTCACCCTCCGTCACCTCCAGCACCTTCACCTGCTCCTCAGCAGCGGCTCGCACCGCCTGCACCGGGCACAAGATCCCCGTCAGCGTCTCCACCAGCGCTTCCTTCAGCCCCTGCGCCACCGGCCCCGCTCCGGGCCCGCCGCCGCCTCCCGCCATCGCCGCCCCCTCCGCGGGCCGCGCGCGCCAAACGCACCGCGCGCCGGGAGGAGGGGCCGGGCCGGGTCCCCCCCCCCCTGTCACAGCGCCCCCTGGCGGCGTGGCGGACCGCGGCGCTCCCGGAACGCGGGAGAGCCCCGAATGGCCGGAGCGGGAACAACGGGCAGGAAGGGCTGAAAACGCACCGTGACAAAGGGCGAGATGCGGCTGGACAAGGGACCGTGCGGGGCTAGGGCAGCGCCTCTCTGGGATAAACCTCCTTGCTGTGGTTCCTGGGCATCAGCACAACTCAGCGCGGCAGCAGCGCAGGAATGACGCTGAGAAGAGGGTAGGGACGGTATCTGGGGATCCACACCACCCAAGACCCCCAAAGCCTCCGACCCACTTCCAGAAGGGTCTGAAAGAAGGGACTGTGCATGAGAACTCATCTGCATGGAAAGCGAGAGACCTGGGTCAGGATGGGGAAACCTGTCTGAAAAATGGTACCCCCAAAGCAGGACCCTGGACATCCCATCGGCTGAAACAATGCAGCAGGATCAACGTGCTGGAACCAGGGCTGCTGATTGATTGATTGATTGATTGATTGATTGATTGATTGATTGATTGATTGATTTCTCTCTCTCTCTCTCTCCCCCCTTCTCTCTAATTCATCTCTTCCTTTCTCTCCTCCCTTTCCTCCTATCCCTTTATCCAGCCCCCACTGCCATGGCCTTATGCAGTAGATCAGGACACAGCAATTTCCATGACAAGTGTATCACTTACTGTACTGATAAAACTTYGATTTTTTTGTGGACCCTCTGACCTGTCACTTTCCACCACAAGAGTTTAGGGATCTTGGGAGCTCCCTTCCCCCTGAGGGTGGGATATCACAGGGGAATGAGACAGAGCCCAGGGTCTTGTGGGGCATTCAGAGCCCTGAGAGAGTCCAGGGGACCCTGGAGCAGGGACCCCCACACCGGGGTGCAGGGGCCCAGTCCTAGGGCAGGAAAAGCCTYGAGTCCCTCATAAGCTCTTTTCCCACAGGTAGATGTGGAGAACAGCCAGTGTGAGCCTCGAGGAGCCCACCTTTATTTTCTACAGCTGTTTATTTAGGAAGTATGAACAATTTTACAAAGCATGACAGGGATTAAAAAGCAGTATTGACACAAAAAAAGTGGGCTTCTTATGTGGGGGACAGTGATGGAGTTGTGTTTTGGGATAGGGACAGCAGTTCCCATACACTGTGGGAAAATACTAGGACATTTTCTGAATCTGAATTTCAAAAATCAGATTTCTGAATCTGGGGGTTTTTTTCTGAATCCAGTAATGATTTGGTCATTAAGTCCCCAAGAGTGTGACAGTGATTACAGCCACAGGCCAGTGCCAGGGGTGAGCCTGGCAGCCACATTCACAGAATCACAGAATCATTCACATTGGAAAAGCCCTCCAGGATCCCCGAGTCCAGCCTGATCCCCACACTGTCCCCMGCCTTGAGTGCCACCTGCAGTCATGCCCTGGGCACCTCCGGGGYGGGGACTCCAACAGCTCCCTGGGCAGCCCGTGCCAGTGTTTCGTCACCCTCTCTGTTCTGAACCAGTGCTGCTGCACTGKGCACTCTTTCCCTGCACTCAGACTAGCTCCACTCTGGGGGAAATGCCTCTTTCCAATATTCCCATCAGTATTCMAGCCATGGTGATGGGCAGCTGGAATGCACCTCCTGTCCAAAAGCTCTCGAGGGTGATCAAGGGATACTTGGTGACAGATGTGCTGTCACCAGAAGGATTTGGGGTTTAATCTTGTTCTTGTACTGCCTAAATGCCCAAGGCCAGGTTSGGCAGGGCTTGGAGCCACCYGGGAGAGTGGAAGGTGTCCMTGYCYATGRRAGGRGGTGAAACAAGATGAGGTTCAAGGTCCCTTCCAACCCGGACCAGTCTGGGATTCTGCAATTCCCTGCACGGAACTTTTGCAGCCTGAGCTGAAGATTTTCYGTAAAAGCAGAAGGAGCAACTTGATATCCAGCACAAGCATAAAGCTGGYTCAGCTCCATGCAGGCACAGTGAGTGTCCCACTGCCCCTATGTCCTGCAGCCCCACTCCAGCCCTTGCCCTCTGCCAGCACAGGGGCTGCATCAACAAAAGAACCCACAGGGGCAGAACCCACCTGYCCAGCACCAACCCCTGGCTCTGCTGGAGCCCCCTCCTCACCCTCCCTGCCTGGGGGAGCTCCTCCATGGGCAGAGGCAGCAGAGGGGACACAAAGTGCCTCTGGAGGCTTCTCTGTGCTCACCTGAGACACTGCCCAGGCAGCTGTGGGGGATGCAATCCATCCCCCATCTCAGCTACACAAACATTCCCTCCCCCTTCCTTCTGCAGGGATTGGGCTGATGGGCCCCATCTTTCCCACAAACACACAGGACCAGGGGCTCAGGCCGTGCCCAGCACTGCCCAGACCCCAAACAAGCCTGCTCCCCCTGGCAGAGCAGACAGGCTGGACAGCAGAGACCATTCCAAACCAGAGGTGTGGGCACACCCAGGACAGGCTGGCATTTTTGTGGGGAGAGAAGGGCCCATTTCAGCCACACTGTTCAACCCAGACTGGGCTCTGTCCTGAGCACAGCCAGGGAGCTCATCCCKTCCCTCTGTCATTGCTGGCCCCAGAGAGGTCTCTGCAAGGGGAATACATTATTTTTCTCTCTTKTTCTTCCCAATCCAAAATGCTGATTCTTCTGGAGAAATAAATACATATTTATATAAGTGTAACTTTTGAAAGGCCAAGGTCATCACTCATCATCCTGTCCCAGGATTTTGGCTTAATGGAAAACGTAAGTGTATCCCTGCTGCACCAAAAACAGTGAGGCAGGAGGTCCAGGGCTCTTCTCCTGGGGAACAAGGGACAGGACAAGAGGAAGAAGCCTCAAATTGCTCCAGAGGAGATTCAGGTTGGATATGAGGGAAAATTTCTTCCCAAAAGGATGGTCAGGCACAGGCACAGCTGCCCATGGCAGTGGYGGAGGCACCATCCCTGGAAATGTTCAAAAAAACGTGTGGCACTTGGGGACATGGGTTAGTGGTGAACACGACAGTGCTGGGGGAATGGTTGGACTCTGATCTTAGAGGGCTTTTCCAACCCTACTGATCCTGTGATTCTCTGRTTCCATCACTCCAGGCTCTCACTGGTTTTCAGTGCTGGCTGCCAACATGATATCTGACACATCTCTGCAAGTACCTGTCAGGAAAGGACAAAAAGGATCACAATGAGAACCTTTTCCTCTGCCTTACAAACATATCGCAAAAACCGAGGATGCAGTTTGGGGAGAGCAGGGGTATCCCACAGCAATGCCAGGCTCACCCATCATCCTTTTTCAGCTGAAGTGATGCATAATCACTCTGATTGTGCCAACTCATTCTTCTGTATTTGTAGAAACTTCATTYATTGGACTCTTCCAGGCTTTTCCAGGTTTGAATTCCCACCTGTTTGAACATTCCACAAGCCCTTCACAGCTTTCTGCAGGGATCCCTCAGCACTCAGAGCTTGGTCAAACATTGCACTTCTGCCTCCAAGCCYAACAGTTGTGATGGTCATCCCTCCTTGACATGCTTTAGGGAGCACAATTCCCTCACCACAAAAAGACATTCTTGACATGCAAAGGTATTTTATGATGAGCTCCTTGTTCCCCCTGTGCTGGTTTCAGCTCACGGGCAAAGCACACGAGCTCTGAGCTCCCCCTGCAGAGCCATGCCAAGGAAGAGCCCACAGGAAGGTGCCATGGGACTGCTGGAACCAGCAAAAATCCCCCAAGAAGCATCAGGGCAGCACATAGAGCAGGCAAAAGATCAGCCTACATGGTGCTAATCCAGCCTGTCCCCTGCTTGGTTAAAATTTAATTCCACACAGCAACAAAAACATGAAAACCCAAAATCCCAGCAGACACCAAAGCAGCCCAAACACCTGACCCACCCTCTCCACTATTGGTTTTATYTTTAATGAAGCCTGGACCATGGGGAGACTGTTCAAGTAAATCCCATGTTCGGCAGACAGGGGGCTGCTGGTTTTAGTTGTATGTGTTTCAGCCCAGTTCTGACAGCTTTCAGGGGACAATCACACACAAACACACACACATTTTATATATATATATATAATCTGGCCCAGTATTATGATTAAACAAGCAGCCAAATTCCTTTAAAATGTTATTGTAAGACATTTTGCAGAACTTGAAAGGTGCACAAGGAACCTTTGTGAAGCTGCACTTCTGAATTCAGGTTATGTCACTATTTCTTTTCAACCACCTTGCAGCAAACCTTCCCCTCAGCAAGCAGAATTTTGGACTTGGCAGTCTATCACATGGGCTTTTCTTTTAGTCATAAAATATTTGTTCCTTCTACCCAAGACCTTTTTTACTGCAATTCCCTGATCCGTTCCTGTGTGTCTCAGAGCAGCTGAGTGTTGAACCTGCAGTTCTATTCCTCTCCTGTGGCTGCTTTATCTCCTCTTCCAGACAGACTTTTATCTCYATTGATGCTGCTCTCAGTGAAGAGCTGTTCCTTCACAGACTGACGTGTTCAAATCCTCAAGGAGAGCTCTCAGTRTGACACTTGTTCCCTTCTGAAGGATAATGCCATTTTTCAGGGCTGTACTTCAGGCACTCTCTCAGAACAGCACTCTCATTTCTARGCTCACATAGAGCTGTCTCAGCTCCTGATGTTGCTGTGTGCGGRTTCTGGAGATGGTGCCCTCCTGAATCCTGTGTGCCACATGTGGTTGTGTCCTGCAGACACATCTCCTGCAGGCACACAGTAATCATTGCAGTTTGTTGGCATTTGCTGTGCCCTGGCAGGGTCCTGGCAGCTGAACCCCTGCTGGAAGCCCCAATTCCCTGAGCTGCACTGACCCTGGAACAGCCCAAACACCTGACAAACGCTCTCCAACATCGGTTTTATCTTCAGTAAAGCCTGGATGATGGAGAGTCTTCGARTGAATTCTGTGTTCTGCATCCAAAGGATAAACTCACAGAATCCCAGATGGGTTTGGGTTGGAAGGGACATGAAATTCCACCCCTCCA